AATGTTGCTTTTAAAACATAATGGCTACAGGTAAAAAAGATTAATCTGACGGAGAACATCTCATATACTGAACAGCTTCTAAACTCACAGCTATTCGTGATCACTGGTGGGAGTAACAGCCAACCTATGACACTGCAGTTCACCAGCACTTAATAGAAGTTGCTGCATACAGGTAACAAAGCATTCCATGCACCGCTCTGCACCAAAATGAAATGCTTCTCTCTTACTCACAAATTAAACAGGGTCCCAGTCTAACTGAGTACCTTCCTGCGTGGGCTCCAAAATCCATCTGAAAATCCCCTCTTCCTCAAAAATACAGTCAGCATTTCAGCAGCAAGATTTTTTTGGTCAGTTAAAGAAAGCTCCACCTAGATTTTTATGTCCTCCTGAAATACATTCTAATTTCTAACCCTCATTAATAATTCCATCAACACAGAGTTCCTATAACTCAGTATACACAAACGGGAGAATTCTGCTCTGAGATGAACCACGCAGATTTCTTGTCCACCTTGAATTTCTCCATTATATTATATATTTGACTTCCACGTGGAACTCCTGCCTACACGTATGCAATTGGATATGGAAGCAGAGTGTAGCAGTGTTCCACAAAGATCTCCAGTGGAGAGCTAAGACTAGACATTTTCCCTTCAATTACTATAATTTTCAAGGACAGACACCTACATTTACAGCCATTTTTCATTTGCATTGTTTCAAATCACATGGAGTTGTGTCTTTAGATAAGTTATGCAGTGCAGTCAGGCTTGTTACAACAAATATTTCAGCCCCCGAAAGCCTGTGTGTTTGCAATAGTCCAAACTTACATGACCTCTCTTTATTAATGAATGGAGCTACATGAATAGAGTGACTCAGTATCCTGATTCAGGGAAGCCAGTTACCATTTAATAAGGGCTGCTACAACAATCCCCAACAAAGCTTTCTTAAAAAAAAAAAAAAACCAAAAATCTCAAAGACTGTTTTTCCACCACCTGACTGAATCTCTCTCCTAAACTGTTCCTCCAGCACCATTCTGCTTATCTTGTTCTGCCCTCTTCTGTCAGTCATTGATAGAAAATGCTGACTCAGCAAAGCAGCAGAACAGAGCAACACAATAGTGAGGATAGGGATAGCAGAGGCCTTCTGGTAATGTAAAATTAAGCTTTAGCCAATAACCTCCCACATTCAAAGTGATTCCATAAATGCACGCATGCATGCGCGTGTGCACACATGTATAGACACACAATTTTTATTTAAGAAGGTATGTATAATCTGAGACATAAGGGACAGACTTACTCTATAGACCATTAGTGACCCAATGATATTTTACGGGTTCCTAATTTAAGCACCGTCTGTCACTTTTAATCATATAGAGTAATTTTTTATATTTATTCAGAGAAAGAAAGCAATAAAAACCCTTGGTATCTGCTCAACCTCAGCTGATTTTCCAGTAAAAGTATCATCTGCTCCAGCAAACACATGGCTATGTGGCCTACATGAGGCATGTTGTCAGAGACACAGTGGGACTTCAAGCAGTCTAAGCACCCACTATAAATTATCCTGTACCTGCTGCTACCGCAGCAGAGTTCATTAAAAAGTTCAAGTGCTCAGAAAAAAAACAAGTTTGCTTGATATTGACCAAGAGAGTCTGTGACACATGGAAACAGGATGAATTGGTGAGACATATGGCTGTCCACGTATTGGGAAGTGCATTGTCAATTACAGCCAGAGGCAGCAAAAAGCCTCTTCTTCCTCCCACCCGTACCTTAGTAAACACTTCTCTTAGATTTGGGACTATATGATCCAAAGTGCACAGAACATTCATTGACTTAGCAGCATTAGTCCAGACACACTAAGCAGCAGGGAGAATAAACTCTTCTCTCCATGGCTTGTCAGAATAGTGTTCCAATCCAAGGGAGAGCTGTGGCTTTTCAGCAGGTAGTTAAAAGTCAATAAGGAGATAAGAAAAAGTTATTTGTGTAGTTAGAAACATTTTTTCTTTCTGCTATTAGTGCATTCCCATCAATAGGGGATGTGTGAAGAGTTCCTGTACTCTGAAGCCATGACAGCATCAACACCCATAGTTAAAACAAACTGGTGGCAGTATACTTGCAGTGGGATTTTAGTGTGGGATTCTAAATCCTTATACGACCTCCTATTTGTCAAGACCTCAGGACTGCACAGCTCAGACACATTTATTCCTGGATGGACTTTCAGATTCAGGAGCAGTGCTATGGCTAGGAAAGCATAAGGAAGTATAATCCAGCAGGGCTGACAACCATTGGGGGTGGGGAGCAGGGCAAGGTATGTGGGGGACCAACTCTGCAACTCTTGAAGGGGCAGGGCCTCGGGTGGAAAGGGCGGGACCGAAGGCAGCCACCCCTCAGCACTGCCCGGACCACAGTAAGTGCCCCGCCCTCGCAAGCCCTCAGAGCCATGCAGAGTAGTGGAGTGATGCTCCAACACTCTGGCAGCAATTCTAAGGAGGCCAGGGCTGCAGCCACTACTGCTACTGGTGATGTCAGTTGGATGTCAGTTGGGTGCCCCAGGTCCCATAAAATCACTGGGCTCTAGGGCAATTGGTCCCTTTGCCGCCTCCCTCCTCCTCTTGCCCCAGTCAGCAGGCCCTTCTCAACTGACTTCACACTAAGGCATGTGGTAATCTAGCAGTAATTGGATTTACATGGAATAGTGTATCAGTGGCAGCAAATGGGCTGTACCTTGAGGTTTGGGTTTGGTAAGCTTCCCACAGGGTTTTGAGATGGTGACTGTTTTCTGGCAGTCCGCATTGTGAAGAGCTCTCTTCAGGTTTCCAGTTCGAGTCTTCAGGGCAGTATTCAGGTCGCATTCTCCCCAAGCCTGGAACTGGTATTTACACTCTGCTGCAAAGAGTGTGGGAACACAAAGAATTTTTAAAAAAGAATCATGGAGCATGAATAAATGTTACCCAAGACTAATCAGGCAGGTACATACTGCCAGTGATTTCAGACAGGTACATTATACATCCAAAGAAGTAGGGGAGAGCAAACCTTCAAGGGAGATTTTTAGAGGTATTTTTTTCCCAAATATGACCCAATTTAAAAACATAATTATCTTGCTCTTGCTGGGCACTGGATTAATGTTATAAAAAGGAAAGTACTTTTTAAATACAGAAACTACAATAGAAGAGAAAAGTTAGTGGAAATTTCCTCCAGATTCAAAAGGCCTGATTCTCCTCTGCTTTGCAGAATCAGTTACAAATGAGGTATGAAAAGTTGCAAACCATAATAATAATATATTGCAATTACTTAATATGGGTGTAAATGACTACACAAGGTGTGAAGCTAGTGAGAATCAGACCATTAATATCTATTTTTTCTCATCAAGAAATTAAAATATATTAAATCAAGTATATTTGATTGTGCTCATTGTGCTGCTGTTTACACATCACTCACTGTATAAAGGTTTATGGTTCTATCGCTGCAGAGGTGGTTTCCACAGACCAGTTCTCACTAGTGAAGAGTTAGAACAAAAAGTTCAGAGGTCTGATCCAGAGGTCTGATTCAAATGTGCATCCAAACTTTTGTATATTTCTCTGAAAATGAATTATCCAACCTCTTGAGCTTGCATATAGGGCCAGAAATACTACAAGTGCCCAGGTGCAGCACAGGATCTGCCAACTCCAGAACCTCTGCACGGACTGCCTGAAGCATTCATTGTAGTGTCATCATCAGTTCAAGTCATATAAGCTGTTTAGTAGAGAAGAGCTGAGTCTACAAGGGCAACCATATACCTGAGTCCTGGTTACATAGGAAAAGCATAGTCATATATTAATCTTTCATGTATTAAATAGTATGGCCTTTATCCACTCCCCAACAAGTCACAGCCACTAACTCAAGAGGCTGCAAATTGTATATCGTGTTCCATAGTGAAGACTGAAGTACTCATGGGGGTATTCACAACCGTGGAAAGGCAATAGATAGTAGCTTTAAGATGTTGCTGGGCTTCTGGGGGCTGTACTGGTTTGGTGGATGTCCTGCCAGTAAGGTCTCTCTACTAGAGCTAGGTGAATATTTTCATAAATATGAATACATATGTTTATTATTAATAATTATTATTATTTATGTATTAATGTTATTGTTATTGAAAATTATCTGCAAAATGCCAATTCAGAGCACTAAATACTATCTTTGAATTAGGGTCAAATTTGGCAAATAACTTCAGTTGAACAAAAAAGGAAGATTTTTCCCCCCAAAAAAGTCAAAAAATGTTAGTTTTGACATTTTTGAAACAAACCATTTTGTTTTGAAATGTTGAATTGACCCAAACAACTTTGTCTTTCCCAAAATGAAAAACCTAACAACAACAAAAAACAGTTTCTGTTCAATACTAACCAAGTCCCCTCCCCCCTCTCCCAGACTTCTCAGCTTGGCCACCACATAAAAAAAAAATCAGATATTCGCTCAGTTCTCACTTCTACCCTGAATATCCTGTCTTCTGATGGCCTAAATAAGCAGTTACTCAAACCCTGTCCTGGGAGGCCTGTTGGGTTGCCAGGTGTAATTGAGTTTTCTGTTCAGGAAACAAATTGAGAAAATACCGGACATATAAATGTCCGGTATTTTCTTATTAAGTAAGTCTTATTATTATCATGAGTATCAGTACGTACTTGTGTAGTGCCCGGCTGGTAGACCAGCCAGGCACTATGCAACTATGCAGTAGAGAGGAAGAGGGTGGGAGTGGGCGTGGGGCCAGGGCAGGATGGAATCCCAGGGGCTGGACTTGCCCGTGCGCCCTCCGCTCCCCCCTGACCAGTTCCTGCCCTTCTCCTCCCCCTCTGACCAGCCCTGCTCCTCTCAAACCCCTCCCAGCCAGCCCCGCTTCCCTCCCTGCCGGTTCCCTCCCACCCCTGATCTGAGATCAAGTGTGTGCAGTATTTTTTTTAAACCATCTGGTAATCCTAGAGGCCTGTAAAATCCACCTTCTCACACCGAGTGGATGTCAGTGAAACACCTCAGCTGTGTCTAGACTGGCCAGTTTTTCCGGAAAGTCAGCCGCTTTTCCGGAAAACTTGCCAGCTGTCTACACTGGCCCTTGAATTTCCGCAAAAGCACTGACAATCTCATGTAAGATTGTCAGTGTTTTTGCGAAAATACTATGCTGCTCCCGTTCGGGCAAAAGTCCTTTTGCGCAAAGGTTTTGTGCAAAAGGGCCAGTGTAGATAGCCCAGATTTATTTTCCGCAAAAAAGCCCAGATCGCGAAAATGGCAATAGGGGCTTTTTTGCGGAAAAGCGCGTCTAGATTGGCATGGACGCTTTTCCGCAAAAAGTGCTTTTGCAGAAAAGCGTCCGTGCCAATCTAGACACTCTGTTCCGAAAATGCTTTTAACGGAAAACTTTTCCGTTAAAACCATTTCCGGCAAATCATGCCAGTCTAGACGTAGCCCTCCTGAATAGGCTGTAATCTGATCTAGTGAGGAAATAATTTCCCCTCTGTCTGACCCTTAAAACACAACAAAAATAAAATAGAATTTTAAAAGAATCACATGTATTTCCATTTTAAAAGCTATTTTTCATACAAAAAAGTTAGGGTAAGATTTCCATTCAGCTCTAATTGTACTGACCATGAAGCACTGCAGAGAGAGGCAGAACATGCACGCCTGCTGTCTGCCCAGGGTGAGCATACATAGAGGATGACTTCTCAATACTCAAATCGGAGATAAGTAAATCACTTAAGACAGGGCAAGCCTTACCTCCAAACTGCTTCTTCCAGTTGCAGGGGATCTTACACCTTTGGGTCTTCATAGTTTGCTTGCACTCAGCTCCAGTACGTGTACCCTCACGGGTCCCTAGGCCACAGTCTCCACTGGTGGGTACACACACACTCCACTGCCACTCCCCACAGTCAGACTTCTTCACTTTCTTCTCTGGATGGTGCCAAGGAAATCAAACCAAAACAAGAAAAGTGGCTAGTCCCCTGCCAAAAGCATCCACTTTAAACAGCTCAACAGGTAAAAGAGCCTCTGATACCATAACTGCCTTGAATGGATCAAAACTGAAGTTCTCAAAAGGTGCTGGAGACTGTAAATTGACTGCCTTTCTAGAGGCTGACCTAGTATGGACTCCAGACTAGAGATGCCAATTTTCTAATCTCACAACACCAAATATCCAGGCCCTGCCTCTTCACCAAGACCCCACCCCCAGAGTCTTCCCTCCATCACTTGCTCTCCTCCATCCTCACTCACTTTTACTGGACTAGGGCATGGGGGTGAAGGATGGGGAATGGGGCCAGTAATGAGGGGTTTGGAGTGCAGGAATGGACTCCAGAACATACATAAGAACAGCCATTCTGGGTCAGACCAAAGGTCAATCTAGCCCAGTATCATGTCTTCCGACAGTGGCCAATGCCAGATGCCAGAGGGAATGAACAGAACAGGGAATCATTGAGTGATCCCTCCCCTGTCACCTATTCCCAGCTACTGACAGTGGGTCGAGACATCATTCCTACCCATCCAGGCAAGATATAGGCCAGAAGTTTATGCTTAGAGTTTGTTTTAAGAGGGATTTGGAGTATGCTGTATTGGAGCCATGCTAGTTCCAGGATACTAGAGTGACAAGGTGGGTGAGGTAATATCTTTTATTAGGCCAACTTCTGTTTGTAAGACAAACAAGTTTTCCAGCTTTCACAGAGGTCTTCTTCAGGTCCAGGAAATGTGTTCAGTGGCACAGCTAAATACAGAGAGGAGCAGATTGCTTAGCATAAGCAGTTAAGACATACTTCAAAGAACAATTCAGGGTGAAGTTGCCTGCTAAAACCTCTCCAATAAGGGGGCAAGGAGGGGCAATAAATAAAAAAAAATCAAGCTGGGGAGAGTAAGGCTTAGTGGATTATAGATTGTGATAAAAGGTCATAAATCCAGTGTCTCTATTCCATGGTCTAACAAAGTTATAAAGCTCTCAGGCTCAACTTTTGAAGGTGTTGTGTTGGTTTCCTGTGTGGATGAGGACTGAGAAGAAACCAGGCCTTTTATTTTTGTATCATACCATCCCTCTTATCAGGACACTCTCCCTGAATTTTGGAGGCAGAGGTTGAGCTAGCAGGGGAAAGATGTGTCAGTATATCTGAACGTGGATACAAATTTCATTACTGATGGCAACCCTCCCTACTTTTATAATGGCCTTAAACAACTCCAAAGATAGGTGTTATAAGAATCCAGTGCACAGGAGTGCTGATAAGAAACTGGACTTCATTTCACGTTGCATGAGCTTAGTCTGTTAAGAGAGATTAACTGAACTGCCAACTCCAAGTATTAAAAAATCATGAGTCAGGTCTCAAAATATCATAAGATACTTTAAATAATACATTACAGCACTTATTTGCCTTCTGTTTTTTTGCACCTTCATGGTTCATATTTTCTAGCATTTCTCTGTATCCACAATGGCTGGAAACGTACTGTCTGTTTTGAAATGAAAGCTCAGATTCTGAAACATTCACAGGTCTCACGGTTGTATGTGTGTAAGTAAAATTCCAGAAATCATGACTCTCGTGTTGAAAGGTATAAGAATTGGCAACATCCAGGTTTGAAATCTAGGTCTGAGTTTTCCATCTCAGGATCATCTCTATTTAAAATAAGAATGGAGTCATTGCTGATCAAAAGCAGTTACCAGTAGGTGCGTGTTTGTCAGGTCCTATGCGGAAAAAAGTCTGTCCAATTTCTAATGGATGGGTTTCCATGTCACATAGGCAAGATCTTTATTGTGTGTATATTCAGAGTAGGTAAAGCCAGTTTTAAACCAGACCATCCTCTTTTTGTGTGCTTTGTCTCAAGTTGTCCTTCATCTAGTACTGAGACAAAACCAGACAGGGGACACCATTTTGAACAGTGTACCACTCTGCCCCTGCCAGCATGACCATGCATGTGCCATGTGTGCCAAGTCATGTCAACATGGGCAGGGTCACACTATTCTCAGAAGTACTAGAATATCTGGTATTCAGGAAATGTGCGAGTGGCCACTACTTTGGAAGCCAATGAAAGAGAAAGGTGACTGAATCCAACTGGGCACCTCTCCAACGATCCAGGGGAGCTCAAGGACAGGGCAGTGCCGAGAAAGGCTGTGCTGCTGTTTCTATGCCATACCTGTCCTTTGTTTAAAAAAAGAGCATCAGCGGCTGTCAAACTGGCAGCTTTCACAGACACTAATTTCTGTTCTCCCACTTAAATGAAAACATGTCACTGCAGCAAATCCCTAGTCTGCGTGTCAAAAAGTTAATGATTCTCCTGAATTTCATAATAAAGACAAAAGCATCTGATATTCTTCTATCCATGAAATCTATCTCAGGGAAAAAAGAGAGTGAATTAAGTTCAGTCTTGGAATGCAATACCCCAACCATTCTGTACTAGGAAATAGTATGTAATACACAGATTTTCTCATGTACCTTATCTTAACACCACTCTGTTTCCATTTCTGGCCACCGCACAGAGCTCTCTCAATGTACTATATTCCTGACCTGTAAAATCCCTGCTCTTCCTGCTCTAGTCCAACCACACACACAGTTCTCCCACTGCGCTTTAGTCTGCCTTGTCTATACTGGGAAATTATCTATAATAGGCATGTCTATACTGGGAAATTATTTCAAAGTAACTAAATTTGAAATAATAACTCCTGAAATAACTATTGCAAAATAAGTTTATTCCCCTGAGGAAAACAGGAGTACAGATTTCAAAATAACCAGCCCGCTATTTCAAAATAATGGGCTTGGATAGTATGGGCACTCTGCTTATTATTTTGAAATAAGGGGGTTGGTATTCAACATAACTCCCTAGCGTAGACCAGGGCAAGTGACACCTGATATTCAGTTTAGTTCTGGGTCACCCACATCATGGAAATGTACTCTAGTCCTCATATGTAGCACTGCTGTTATTCCAGACTTTCGCACACAGTCAAAAATAACCAACTGGTTTCAGACTTAATCTGCAATAGTCCTTTCTTTCTAAATCCTGGGTCTTCATGCACTGCCCTGGTAAGACACCTCAGTCTTGAGCTGCAGATTTCTTTGCTATTCTACAGTTCTGCCAATGCGCCTTAACAATAATAATAACTTGAGGAAACTCCTCCCCAACTATTGCCAGGGATTGCGTTGTTCTCTTTGCAAATATTTTCCCCTAAACAGTCATGGATGGATCTATGATTTGACCTTTGTGCCAGTCAACTTTGGATTCTGAACTGGGATGGAATGTCACCCCTACCCAATGGAGAAGAAGCAAATAGTACTCAAGAAACCCTCTTGCATGTACCAAATTAGTTTTCTTTTAATCAGTTGAGGAGGAAAAATGGAGGGGGGGGGGGACAACTTTATGCATCCCAAAAGTAAAATACAGTAGGAAAAACAGTATATGAAACATACTGATAAATACAATAAAGACTAGGGATCTTAAGAAACAAGTACTTCATTAATCATGTAGTTGACAAAAATTTTGTCAACTACACGATTAGTCGATAAGGGGTAGCACTGCTCCTGCCAGTTTCAGCAACTACACCTGCTGCGCCTCTGCACTATAAGCACTTGCAGTGGGGTGAGCCAGGACTGAGCCAGCCTGCCTGTGCACTTAGGACCAGGACCAGCATCAACTCCCACTGCAGCTCTATAGTATAAGCACTAGGAGCCGGCACACAGGCAGGCTGGTCAGTCACAGCTCGTGCCAGGACACAGCATAACCCCATACTGCAGCTCTGCACTACAGGTAGTAAGAGCTGGAGCAAGGGGTTGATGCCGTGTCCCGGCACAAACGGGGACTAAGCCAGCCTGGCCACGTGCCAGCTCAAAAATTTACTGGGGGGGCGGGGGGAGATGGAAAGTGTTGCGTATAGTTGATAATGTCAACCAATAAACACCTACTTATTGGTTAATCATTTAGTTGAGTACAATGTTGTGTCCCTAACCCCCCCCCGCTCAATGCAAACCTTTCTCCAGATCACTAACTGTTAAGAGAAACTCACCATTAAATTATATAATTATGCCAGAGCCATCTTGCTAGTGCTGCAGCTAGGAAGATCAGTTTAAGTTAACCAGTAAGAAAGGAAATATTAACTGAAATTATCAAACAGATTAAGGGCTTTGACTTCCTCTTGTTAGTTTACCAAATGTCATTTTAAATGAAGAAAAATATTAATTTATGTCCAACGCAAAAATATTAATTTATGTTTCAACGTTGTCTTTATTTATGGCAGGGGTGGGGAATGTTTTCTTGGTCAGAGGCGACTGACCTACAGAAGAATCAGTTGAGGACCACACAAGTGAGAAGCCAAAAAAAAAAAACCCTCCAAAATCTCCCAACCCTTGCTGATGTGGGCCCCAATTTAAACACCTCACTCCCATGGAGGTGGGGGACAGGGAGGACTGAGGCTCAGGGCTTCCCATAGACCAGATTTACTTTTCTGGGGTTCCACAGTTAGTGGATTTTGTGGATCCTCCTTAGGCTCAAGGGTGGGAACAAAAATGAGGGGTTCACTGTGAGGGACAACGATGAGGGTGCAGAATCTGGGCAGAAGTTGGGGTACAGGAGGGGGTGATAGTGAAAGGCCTGGGGGGAAGTAGGGTGCAGGAGCAGGCTGGGAGTAGGGTGTCGGATTAGGGGGCAGGGGACTGGAGCAGACTGGACAGAGCAGAGGGGAGTGGGCTGAGGGGTAGATAACTGGTCAGGGGGGAGGAGAGGGCTGGGGGTGTGGGAATCTCTGTGAGGGTGAAGGATCTCAGTGGGGATGTGTGTGAGGGGGTGGGGTGCAGTGTCTGGGCATGAGAGGAAGGGGGGGCACTTACCTGCCTTTGTGTTCACTATTGCTCCTAGACACCATGTAACATGAGCCTCCCCACTGCTCCCACTGATTGGATTCCGGCCAATGGGAACAGTGGGGAGAGCCTCTGGACAGCACATCTGTGCGCTGCCATTCCCCCAGCTGCGGGAAGGGATCAGCAATGCATGGAGTGACTTCTTCCCTGCAAGCTGGATTGCACACAAAGTTCGAAACTTTCTCCTCCCCCCCCCAGCAGAAAGCCAACACTGGCACTCCACCTCACGGGGGGAGGGGGGAGGAGGATAGGCTGGAGCACCAGCACAGGTTCCCCTCTCCGAGAGAACTAAGGGGGGGGGTGTTGAGCTCAAGCTACGGTCCACCTGTAAGGCATCCGCAGACCACTAGTTATCCGCAAACTCACTTTGAGAACCACTGCCTAATAAAGATATTTAGGCCTAAATCATCAATTCCTATTGAATTCCAAAATTATTTCAGTAGGCATTAAATGCCTACATACCTTTGAGGATCTGGGATTTGGAAATAAACAGCTTGATCATAAACTCACTGAAGTCAATAGCAAAACTGTCATTGACCTGAGTAGTGAAAAATCTGATCCTAGGCTCGCTCTACCGTCCTCCATCCCATATCTCCTGCATAACTGATTATATTTTACCTTACCTGGTTTCTCTTTTTTGCCAGCCTCGGTAGTACCCATGGCTGCCAGAACAAAAATGAATGCCAAGAGGGCAACTGTGAACATTCGGCGCTGTTGTTGCTGCTGCATTCTGAAAGAAAAAGGACTATGTTCAGCTTTGAGAAAGGTACACAGGGAAAGGTATGTCAGACTGCTTGAGAGAAAAACACCAATCAAGTATTATAATGGAGTTTTCCTCTACCTGCACAGAAGACAAAGCCTTTGAAATCTTCTTTATAACTGAAATTCCTTAATGGCCATTTTCATCCCAAAACCACTGCATTCCCAATGCAGCACTTTGTTTTACTATGTTGTGTACATGTGTATGTAGTGTAGGTTTAGCCATATCGCTGAGAAATACAAGTTGGGTAAGAGATAACATCTTTTATTGACTCGACTTCTGTTGGTAAAGGAGACCTGCAGAAGAGCCATTTCTGGCTCAAAACTTGTCTCTCTCACAAACAGCAGTTGGTAAAATGAATGATGTTACCTCACCCAGCTTGTCTCTTAGGATATGTTTACACTACAGAGGTTTTTTTTCAGAAAAACAGCAGTTTTTCAAAAAAAACCTTCAATTACGTCCACACTGCAATCATGATCTTTCAGAAAAAATTAAAAGAACAGAGGAGTTTTTCCAGCATTGGTAATCCTCCTTCTATGAGGAAGAAGCCTTTTTCCGAAACAGCTCTTTCGGAAAAAGGTGTGTGTGGTCAGGGAAGAGGAAGTTCTTTTGGAAAAAGAGGAAAGAGGAAAATGCACAGGTTCCCTAGGGGCCACACCATTCATAGTAATCACAATTTAAATGCGAGATAGCATCCATTCAATGCGGACGCTATCTTTTGAAAAAGCAGATCGCTTTTTCGATACACTTTAGCAGTATGGACGCGCTCTTTCGGAAGAAGTGTTTTTCGGAAGATCTTTTCCAGAAAAGCTTCTTCCAAAAGAAGCCTGCAGTCTAGATGTAGCACTACAGATAATACGGGAATGAGAGAAACTTGGGAGAAATTATAGAGTAATGATTAAAGTAGGACACAGAATAAGGATTCCTTGATTCTAATCTCCAATCTGTTACAGACTTGTAATGCAATATTGAGCAAACCCCTTATCCTTTGTCTCTCTTTACCCATCTATAAAAAGAGGTTAATGCTACTTAACTGTTTGGTCAAAGTTCAAGAGTATTTTTGACATAACTGATATTTTCAAAGTGCTTTAGGATCCTTTGATGAAGCATATGTAGATGAAAAGTGAATTAATCATCATTAGAGCTCCCTGGTCATACTTTCACTTTTCCTTCTCCATAGATTAATCTCCATGTATAAAAAGGGTTCAACTAACATGCCCATGAATGGACAAATCACAAACAAAATGTGTTTTCCCCTGGACTACACTGACCAACTATGCATTCTAAGTGATGCTCAGATCTAGACTTGGGATGCAAAATTCAAATACAAATATGAATACATGTATATTTGCTCATTGGTGAAATGTCACTTCCTAGCCACCCAGTTGAATCACTGACAGAAGCTAGGACTGATCTGATTTTGCAGGCCTGATGTTCTAACCAAAGCTTCTGCAAAGATTTTCAGGCAAGAACCATTTTCTCTTTCTCTCAGCCTTCCTGCATTTTATACTGCTGTACATGCATTTACTGCCAAGGATGAAGTGACTACAAGTTCCAGCTACTAAGTCATCTTTAAAATGCAACCACATTTATATTACTAACAGAGCCATATGAAAATTTGAGGTCAAATTATTTATTTGCTGAAAACTGCAGATTCAGGTTCACTGAAACTATTCAGAAATGTGGCCTGAATTGAATGCTTCAGCTAGGAAAAATGGGAGGAGGGAATTTTTTAAGTGAAAATGTTTCATTTTGATATTTTCACAATGAAATGTTGTGACTTTTTGTTTCAAACTGACAATGCATTTCAAAAGGTAGTCAGATTTATAGAGAGTAAAAATGCTTTTTCATTTCAGGTCAAACAAAATATTTCTTTCAACCAAAAAATTTCATTTTGTTTTCACCAAGAAAAAACAAAAAAATATTTTTTTGAGTCTAGATTAAATGATTTTTTTTCTGATTTTTCAGTTCAGCCACCACACCAAAAAAAACCAACATCCCCAATTATCTTAAGACCCAACTTGGCATTCCCTCTCCTGAGTTACACCAATTGCACTCCTCTGCTGAAGCAGACAACTGAGATCATAGTCTCTGTGAAAGTTTTGGGATACAGTATCTATAAAGGATGTGATATGGAAAACAGATGTATTATTCTGCTTCATTTACAGGTCCAAATACAAATCTTATCCGATATTACTTTCTCAAAAAACTGAGTTGGGTAAATAATTTTTTGATAAAGATTATAACAAAACTGTTTCAGTACAAAACTGGGGTTTGGACTGCATAAACAATTTCATGGAAAGTGTCTGTCTCCTTGACGATTTTTTTACTTTTTTATCTAAAAACTGATATTTTTAGCTTTTGAAGTTATCAGGCAATGTTTTTTGGAATTGGGGGATTTTTTTAATGAATAATCAACATATTCCAAGGGAGAAAATGTTTGATCTATCAATGAATCAGTGACCTAATATTTTAAGTCCAGTCATTGGTGGAGTGGAGTCACTAACATAAATACCAACAAGACAGGTGGCACTAATGGGTACCCAATACCTTGTGGCATTTTCAGCAGAGTAGCCAAGGAACAAATGGGCATAGAGGTTGAATTACCTCTCTGTAGTCCTTACAGTTCAAGACTGAGGTACATTAGTAGTGGGGCATGTAATATATGGAGAACACTAATACCATGGCTTTCAGGACACAGTCTGCCCTCCAGATATACAGAGAATTTCCTTCTCTGAACTAACAATCTGGCAGCTTTCACAGGAGCTTCTCTCATTTGGGGCCTTTCACCTGTAAAGATGCAAAATACGGTCTTCAGTGAGCACTGTATCCAGCCCTTAAGCATTTTTTAAATTGAAAAATACAAAGAGTGACCTGATTTTCTGGAGCCACCCTATATTTCTATTATAGAATTTTCTAGGAGTCATCAAACCTCTACAGCAAGGGACTCACTCTCTATTCAATTATACAGCTTGTTATAAGTATTTCCATAGACTCAATCCTATTAAAGAACCCTAATGGTTTCATTTCTATTACTGTACTGTAAATTCTTATGTTTCCCACTCCAAAAGATAAGAATAAATAACAAACAATACAAGAAGTTTACACTTGAGAGAGGGGTCTCTCCATACTATCTGTATGATGTACTGTAGTTTAGAAGTACATATCGCAAAACAAAATGGCATGCACTGGAAATCTATTTAATTACCAAGGTCTCATCAGGTGATTTATTTTTACATATGTTAGGAATCTTCAGTGCTTCTACTACAAACTGAAACCCCACAGAGGCTTGATGCAGAGAGTGTGCCTGGCACTTTAATAATGCCCATGGCAGCACAGGACCAACTTGGGAAGTTTTTCCAAGCTGCTGAAGCAAAGTTTGAACCTGAGGGCATAATATATCTGCTTGCAGGAAAGGCTGGCAATTAGGTGCCGACAGTGCCTCCTTGATGAAATGCAACAAACAGGAATTGTCTGACATAATGCACAATATTTTTCATTACCTCACACAAATATTTAATCTGATGTCACTGATTGCTACTGCAAAGTTACAGAAGCCCTCTTGTACTCTACAGACTGGCAGGGACAGTGCTACAAACAGGCTATAAGCATCACAGTATCCCTTGTCTGGAGGAGTTGGTACAACATGTTAGAAGTTTCTCAGAAAAATGGGAAATCCCAAATCACGCTGCAACCATCTGTTGTCAAAAGCACATGGGGATATTTTCATACTAATACCCTCAATTTTCCTTGAACTATTAAAACTGTCCTGAATGCAGGGAGGGTTGTTGTTTTTTTAAACAAAAAGGGCTTTTTCTGTAAAAATGTCTTATTTTAAAAATAACATTTTTTGAAAAAATTAGCTTTTGTTTTTTTTCCAAAAAATTGTGATTTTTTTAATTTTGATACTTTTTCTAATGTTTCCAATGAAAATGTGATTTAAAAATACTGCCAAAAATGTTGTAACAATTAAAATGAGTCCATTCTTAACTTTGCAAAAAGGCAGAACTTGGGTAGCTGTGCAATTTTCATACATTTTAAAAATTTCAACCAACTATCATAAACAGGGCTTAAGGTTCTGAAGGAAAAGCTTTTCTAGAATCCCATGTGAAAGCAGGAACAGCCTCCCCTAAACAATTAGCAGTCGCATTCACAACCAGTAGAAAGATGCAGATGAAATGGGAGAAAGAAGACATCTTTGGGGAAAAGTGGCCTCAAGAGGCAATGAAATGAAGCAGTGAACATGAGGAAAAACCAATAAAAGGAGAAAGTGATTAGGACCATTTAAATGGTGAGTTGCACTGAGTTTGATAAAAGGAATAAATAGCATAAGACAGAAAAATTATGGACATGGCTAAAAGATGAAGAAAATAGAAACATACATTGGGAAGAGAAAGAAATGATTAACTGGACTTAGTAAGAGAGAGTGAGAGAAAATGTGAAGTGGATAATGAGAAGAGATGCAGCTTTATTGAAGTTCACTGTAGCAAGTAGCGTCTCTTGAGTAAGATGAAATACACAAATCACTGTGATGTAATGATTCCTTTCAATATCAGCTCTACTGGGGAGAGAGAATTAAAAGAAAAACAGAAAAGGAGGTGGCAGACAGAAGACGGATTTTATCGGACGAGTTCAGCTTCACATCAGGTGTCAGCAAATAAGAAAGCTGGCCAGAAATCCTACAAGGACAGCATTTTCTTAAAGGCTTTCTGGTTCTGGGTGTTCCTCAGCACCCTAAGCACCTCTGGGTATGTTTACACAGCAGGGCTAAAGTCAGCATAAGCGATGCAACTTCAGCTACATCAATTGCGGAGCTGAAGTCGAAATAGCTTAATTCTGCTTCCGGCGCTGTCTACACAGCAGGAAGTTGAAAGAAGAACATTCTTCCTTCGACTTTCCTTACCCCTTGTAAAATAAGGGCTACCATAAGTTGGAGTAAGAAGTCCTTCAGCTCGACATTATTTTTAAATAAAGGCTTGTAGTGTAGAAGTGCACTAAGTTATTTTGCAATAACATGAGTTATTCCGAAATAATGCTGCTGTGTAGCTGTACCCGCCTTTACCATTCCTGTCAGACCTCAACCCATTTTTTATGATCATACTAATCTCCCTGACTTTCTTCATAATCTTGCTACATTGCTGCCTATGATAGACACAGCCCACACTAGTTCAAGCAAGGGAGGAGTTAATTCACTGTAAAGGCTGCTCCACCCCAAATCTATTTAGCTTGCCACTTAGTGGGAATGTTTGTACCTAGGCCCATCAGAGCATATAGTTAAGCAGGAAGAATTACCTTGGGGCTGGTCACAGTAACAGTATCTCGTGGAGGAGTGGCTTAATCTGTTGGGTAAAGGAGAGAGAAGTAGAAAGACTGTATAAGCACCCAAAGGACAAATAGGAAGCCAAAGGACTCAGAAAATAACTTTAAGATATACATAAAGAAGTATCCAGGGCAAAAATAACTGAAAGTGTTCAGTGCTTGGACTATCTACTCACTTCATTTTCAGGATCAGAGCTCCTCAGAGATGGTAGATGATGGACTCTTCAACGCCACCATATCAAAATGGAACCTAACCCCCCACTAACACTCCAAACAACCTCCATTTACCCACTCTCACACATCTTCCATGCATCATCCCTTTACTTTCTGACTCTGTGTCGACAGTTTGTGTTGCTTGGAGACAATTCAGGATGCAAACTGTAACATGGTATCACCGCAGAGGAAAACAAGTGCCATATTCACCCCTTTAACTAGCATCATAATTGTGGCCCCCACAAGAATAACATGTGCAAAGGAAGGCTATTGGACAAATCTGTTTATGTGTCCCCCCCCCCCCCAGTGCTCATTCTTCCCGTGGTATCTGTTCTCTCTCATGTGAAATGCCTGCATTCTGAAACACTGATTTGTGATACAGTGATGTCACGTTCCATGAGGTGGACAAAGGTCCAGGGGTCGCAATCAATACTTTGGTACAGATTGTCTGTCTTGTTCTGCTCAGGCGGCATGAAAGGAGAGGAAACCACCCATAAATCCCTTGAGGAAGGTTGGCCCCAGTTCAGAGCTTACACTAGAACACTTTCTAGGTCAGCATGGGAATGGTGGGAGGTAATGCCTTCCAGCAACAGTGGTGATTTAAACACTTCCCCTTTAATACAGGGGGTTAGGTTTAGGGAGCACGTTTTCAAATTGCAATCAAATACATATTTGCTTCTTAACGAAATCACATAGAGGGGCCACAATTTGTAGATCAGAGGCCAGCAGGCTGAACAACACTGACATAAAATGAACAAGAGAACTGAGAACTACATGGACACGAGGAACCTGGGGAACAAGCGATTCACATGAAAAGAAAAGAATGATAAAATTTTCTTAAATAAATGCCCAATTAATATGCTCAAACTGGCCTTGTTCAAGTAAATAAACCAGAGTAATTAGTTTAATTGCGAGTAACAGTTCTCCTTCCCTATGATATTTGCATAGTTGATTGCATATTTGCCTTCAGCATCAAGCTAAAGCAGGTAGATATGCAGCAGACATTAACACTTCCAGCTCCTTGGACATAATTCATAGTTTGGGTTGATCATAGGGATCCATGTTTGCATGTATTCTGCCATTTGAAGTACAGCATACCTTGGGATAACATAAAGCTCAAAACTATAGCTAGCTGGACAATTTTCAACAGAACAATTTTCCATCAGGAAGTGTTGTTTCATCAAAATTGAAATGTTTTGAAGGAATGCATTGATTTCAAAAACATTTTCAATGGAATTTTTCAAAACACTTCATTTCAATAAGGTTGGAAGATTTTGTTTTGAATCCAGACTTGAAACTGCATTTCCATATTATGGGTGCATTGCCTTATAAGAATTCTAGTTTGGGCCTTGATTGTTTTTATGGGCTCCCTGGAGGACTGTATCACCCACAAACAATGCAAGACACAGTGGACAAAACTGCACGTGAATACAATGGCTGGATTATATGCCCCAGGATGCAGCTGGAGTCCTAACTCCCCTAACGACCCAGGGAATTGCAATTCATGTTCTATATCAAGTAGACCTGCTTTCTACTGTCCCAGTAGATCAGGGGTGTCCAAACTTTTTTCAAAGAGGGCCAGATTTGATGAAGTGAACGTGCGTGAGGGCCGACCATTTTGCCTGACATTCTTTGAACCATTAAAATTAAATGCAAATTAACTATTTTATGCAAAGTTTATTGCAAACGGCATACTTTTCATTTCGTTACATGTTTGACAAATCTAAACAGGTGTTAAATCACTCTGCCTTTCGTATCTGAAGGCCAGATGAAAAAAAAATCCAGGAAGCTGAAATATATGTCAGGAACATTGTAAAGTACATTACATATTATTGGTAATAAAGGTTGTCTGTCAACTTTTAAGTTCAAAAAATATGAACAGGAACATAACACCAAGTATACATGTTGTGTCCAAATATATTTATAACTGATTTAGACCGACTGACATTAACTGAGATTTTACAATGTATCCATCTCAATACATATGGATTCGTTGGGGGCCATAAAAGATAGATATTGCCAAATTACCTGTGGGGCCGTATTAAACCAGAACACGGGCCACAATTGGCCCGCGGGCCGGACTTTGGACATGCCTGCAGTAGATCATAAGCCTGACAAGATGGGACTCCATCCATACGTGGAATGCTCCAGCCTAGCCACAATTTCTATTCATGCATATCAGTATCGCCTTTTTTCCTCTTTCCCATTCTCTGGAACGCATCATCAACTCTAACCATATTATGTGTCCTGCCTATGTTTCTGGGAATAAACAGTAACTTACTAACGTGGCAGATGATTCTCAAAGTGACCCTGAACTTGAATTGCTCAAAAAAAATCATCAAAAATGTTTCTCTTTCAAAGTTGTTCCATTTTGTGAGTTCAAAATAGAAGTTTTCATTTTTCAAAAATGTTCATGAAATCATTCATTTGATGTTTAAATTAAAATTTTCAGTATCTGGTTTCAATATCTATTTTTTAATTAAATACTAATATAGTGAAAAACAGTTTTTTCAATTAACAAAACATTTTGTTAGAAACAAATCTAATAAAGACTCCACAGAGAAACAAAACTTCTGAAAATATCAACAGCTTTTAAGAAAAATTTCATTTTGGAAAAAGGAAATATTTAAAAAAAACTTTTCATTCAGAAAATTCACCCAGCTTTACTGTAAATAAATTAAAAGTTGTAATAAGCAAAAGCTCTTTGCTATACTCAGTGCGGCAGTTTTATTTTATATATTTGCCTGCTGCTCTGTTTTTGCCTTATATACATATTAAATCACGATCTCTCTCTCACACACACTCATCCCTTACTAACATGAGGCACAAAATACTGTGCAAATATAGGACAAAGGAAAAATGGCTAAAGAACCATTAAACTTCAAGTCTAAATAGATACAGGTCCAAATTTCCAAAAAATGACTTGATATTTTGGGTGTCTCCATTTCTGAGTATCCACTCTGAGACATCTTAAAGAGGGCTTATTTTCAAGTAGCTTTGAACACCCTACCTTAGACAATCAGTACTTTTTGAGGACAGAGGTGAGGGAGTGCAGGATCAGCAATAGCAGCAGTATTGAAGTATTTTACTGTTACAGGCAGTCCCCGGGTTACATACAAGATAGGGACTGTAGGTTTGTTCTTAAGTTGAATCTGTATGTAAGTCGGAACTGGCGTCAGCCGCTGCTGAAACTGATCAGTTTCAACCGCAGCTGAATCTGGATGCCAGTTCTGACTTACATACAGATTCAACTTAAGAAACCCAGGCGTCCCCAAGTCAGCTGCTTCTGAAACTGATCAGCGGCTGATTCTAGGAAGCCTGGGGCAGAGCAACTCTGCCTCGGGCTTCCTGTAGTCAGCGCTGGTCAGTTTCAGCAGTGGCTGACTTGGGGGCGCCTGGGCGGCTTTGCTCGTTTGCCCGGGAGCAAAGCCGCCCAGGCGGCGGCTTTGCTCGGGTGTCCCTGGTCTGCTGGGGGGGTCCAGCGGCTTTGCTGAACACCCCCAGCAGACCAGGGGGACAGGAGCAAAGCCGCCCAGGCAGCGGGACTCCCGCCCCCTGGGCGGCTTTGCTCGGGTGTCCCTGGTGTGCTGGGGGGGTCCAGCGGCTTTGGCGGACCCCCCCCCCCCCAC